TCGGATTCGTCCTACAAACAAAAAGACCTCAGCTGGTGTCCGTTCGATTTAAAACAGACTGAATCTTCCATCGAAGAGTTCGCCAATAACCTAGAATAGATCTTGAACATCCTCCAACTATTATAATTAAAAACACAAAGTACCTCAACTTCGTCTTCTACGTCCGCCATGTTTTTTGTTTCGGTGCCTTGTTCGGTACCAGTTTTTTGGCGTCGTAAACTTAGTAGTTCCCAGGGCCACGAGGATGCGATGGTATTCAAGTGACGACACAGCAAATCTTATATTCATGTCATGAAGCGCCAAAACAGGAAATATTGAAATATCTTGAAATACATATACTCAAAGCCGACCGACAAGTATGAAATAAGTTGAGTTCCGTTTAGTTAGAGCTGGAAATGAATTAACTACGCAAAAACTTAATAACTAATGTAAGAGGAATTCCAGTAACTAGACCCACAATGTTTCAATTAATGATAGGTGGAGCGCTTTATGTCAAATTTTAACTGCCAAACAGGTGAAGGGTAATGTCGGTAATGAAACAAGGAAAGAGAAATTTGTGCCAAAGACCAGAATAGGTAACTGACAAGGTAACTGTTAAAGTATCAGTCTGTAAATGACAGTCAAAAATTATTTTCCAGGCTGGAAAATTTATTGAGAGTTACAGATTCTGTACCAATTACTTCGATTCTCAGCGTACGTAAAACAAAGTTGGTCAAAGTTGCGCAGCATGACATGAAAGCGAACATTTGAAGGGGTGGAACAACAACAACAACAACACACTTTATTTACCCCATTTAGTAGTTCATATTTACAATTATTTAAAATGATTTTTTGAAATGATTTTCAAATGATTGTTGTTGGCTTTTTTTTAAAAAAAAATTTCGAAACATACTTTTGTAGGTTCCCTCGGGTTATTTTTACCAACTGGAGGTACAGAATTCGCTGTTTTTTAACCCCTATGTTCTTAACATCCGATCCAGTCACACAGTCAGGACTATCATCTTTTTACGGCACCCCGCCGGGTTTTACGGCGGGGTTTTCTCGGTTTTAGCTTATTGCCGAATTCTATACCGGCCAGAAATTCGGCGATGTGTTGATCTAACTTCTGCCGTTCACTATCTTGATATTCTGGTAATTCAATGTTGGCGTAACCCGCAAGTTGTTTCCAGCTTCCCTCGGTCATGGCCTTCAGTTCAATGCCGGCAGAAATCATTTTACGCATTCCTTCTTGGCCA